GGTTTACGTGTGGCAGGAGGTGCAAACTGGAGGCGCATTCATGAGTATGATGATGGTGACGATGATGATGGCGATGACCACGATATTGTGAAAAAAAAAAACCATTCAACTTTTGTGTATTCAACGTGGTCTGTTTATTCTGCCACAGTGTGTGAAAGCCGTTTCATTCGACCGTTTTCTCCATTTTCGTTTATTCCGCCACAGTGTTTGAATCTCAAGCTTAGAATTCCTGTTTTCATCATATGCCCTCCGTTTAAACATGTCATGCTACGACAGTTAAAAAAAAAAAAAAAAAAAAGATGAGGCTTTTGCACCCTCGACCTCGGCTTCCATTGCTAATGTTCACAGCTGCCCCGAGGAACTTCATCATCATCATCCGTTGGATCGAGCCCAACAGTTTCCTGATAAACCCGTCGAACGAAACGGCCGAGATCCCCGCGACACTGATGCTGATAACGACAAAGACGATGATGATGATGATGACGATGATGATGATCATCCATCATCATCATCATCATCTTCGTCGTCATCAGAGTCAGCGTCGCGGCGATCTCGGCCGTTTCGTTCGACTGGTTTTTCGGGAAACTGTCGGACTCGATCCGATGGATGACGACGATCATCATCATCGTCATCGTCCTCATCCTCATCCTCATCATCATCATCATCATCATTGTCTTAGTCATCATCAATGTCAGCGTCGCGGTGATCTCTGCCGAATCGCTCGACTGTTTCTTCATCAGATTGTGGGACTCGATCCGACGGATGATGATGATGATGATGAAGACGATGATTTCGTTGTGGGGAAAAAAAAATTAAAAATTGTGGGGGAGTAGATCATCCGCTCAGCCTTGGGATGATGCTAGCTGCTATGTCCCTCAAACGAAAAAATTCATTCTCTTCTTCCGCATAGGCCGCCACATCTGACACACTTCTCGTCAGAACAGCGATGCAGGGAGAAAAGCACGGGTAGACCGATTAAAATAAAAAACACGAATCCGGTTCCTTGGAACTGGGGTCAGGTCTTGAACGAAAAGTCTACCACATTGAACTCAAGCACTTCGAAGCTAAGGCTCAGAAGAAAAAAAAAAACAAAAACAGAGGAGCCTAATGCATGGCCACTTTGGTTGGTCTTCACAGGAGCGCCGGGAAAAAAAAAAAAAAAAAAAACCAGCACACGTGTGTGTATGTGTGTGCGTGGGTGGGTTGTGGGTGTGAGAGAGAAAGGCTTGACAATCAGACGGCGTGGGTTGGGGAGAGGCGAGCTCTGTTCTTGCTCCAGACACTCGGCATCATCGTCATCATCATCATCATTCTACGTCCGCTTTCTCCTCCTCCTCCTCCTCCTCATCATCATAATCGTCATCATAATCAGCATCATCATCATCACCATCATCATAATCATCATCATCCTGATCATCATCATCATAATCACCATCATCATAATCATCATCATCGTCATCATCATCATCATCCCGCGTCCACCTCGTCATGAGAAACTTTGCAAACATTCCACAATTCAGAATGTAGCCCGCCAACGCGTGCTGCCTGCAGCTTCCCGACTAACGAATACAGACAGCAAACCAGCAGGATGAATGTAAAAAACATTAAATTTCTCCTATTTCTGTTACAAAAAAAGATTATTTTACGACGCAGGATGCGGACTGGTGGTGATGCCACGCAGGCCAACTTATTGAATGATAAATTAATAACGAACATCAGGTGCATCTGGCCAAAGCACCAACAAGTAATCAATCGAACGCTACTCTCTCTCTCTCTCTCTCTCTCTCTCTCTCTCTCTCTCTCTCTCTCTCTCTCTCTCTCT